AAATATATATTATGTAATATATATCTATTTAATCTTTAGAAAAAACAACACAGGATGTCCCACCCTCTTCCATGGAACCTGTGGATATGTGACCATTTCAGGCAGAAGGGATTTTGCAGACGTGACTAAGTTGAGGGTCTTGAGCTGATGGGATGAGCCTGAGTCACCCAGGTGGGCCCCAGAGCTCATCGCCAGGGCCCTTGAAAGAGGGAGGCCGAGGAGATTTGAGTTCAGGTCTCGGCTGCAGTGTGGCCCCTGAAGCCAGACGCTCCCTGCTGGCTTTGAAGGTGAAGGAAGGAGCCACAGCATGGAATCAGCTCTGGAAGCTGGAAAAGGCAACGAAATAGGTTCTCCTGTAGTCTCCGGAGCGGGCACAGCCCTGCCGACACCTCCAGTCCAGTGGGACTCATTTCAGGCCTCCGGCCTCCAGCCTGTAGGATGATAAATGTGTATTGTTTTAAGCCACCAAGTCCATGGTAATGTCACAGCGGCCACCGGAACACATACTCCTCCTCTGAGAAACGGGATCTGCAGCCCCGCCCGTTGCAGAGGCCAAGTGTGGGAGGGACGCCCCTGCCTCTCTCTGCTCACTGCCCTCCTGTGGGGACAGAATCCACCCGCAGCCTGGCCTGGGCCCTGCTTTCCTGGCCTCCTGGGGCGCCATCTAGTGGCCACGAAGATAATAGCAGCGGCTATTTGCGTCCAGCCCAACCCTTGGCTGTTTTTGCCACTTGTTTCCGGAACATTAGAGAAACTGCTTTGCTCCAGCCCCAGTGTCACTCCCTTTGGTCTCAATTCCCGTCGGCTGCCTCTCATTGCTGCTTCCTCACCGGGCACCTTGCTTCTGCCCCCCATGCTCGCCCGCAGGGTTTCCCAGCTCAGCCCTCCTGACATTTGGGGCTGGAGATTCTTTGTTGTGGGGGCTGTTCGTGCATTGGATGATGTTTAGCCGCATCCCTGGCCTATGTCCACTAGATCCCAGGAGGCCTCCCTGAGTTGGGACAACCAAAAAATGACCTTGGTCCCAGGATGGGAACCCCAGCTATACCGTCTATTCCCCACACGACAGCTGCATTAGCTTCCTGTTGCTTCCGTATAACAACCACAAACGTAGTCGCTTAACACGAATGTATTATTCAGTGTAGGTCAGAGGTCGAGAAGGGTCTTCCTGAGGCTGCCCTAACACATTGCTACAGACTCGGTGGCTTAAAACAGCAGATATGTGTCCTCTCACGGTTCTGGGGGCCAGGAGTCCAAAGCTGGGATCACTAGGCCAAAGCCAAGGTTTTGGCAGGGCTGTGCTCTCTCCAGAGGCTGTCGGGAGAAACCTGCTCCTTGCTCTTCCAGCGTCTGGAGGCTGCCAGCACTCCTTGGATTGCGGACACATCACTCCCGTCTCTGCCTCCATGGCATTCTCCCCAGGTCTCTCTGGGACTTCTCTGTAGCTTTCTTATAAGGGAACCAATCATGGGATTTAGGGCCCATCCTGATCCAGTAAGTAGGACCTCATTTTAACTGATTACATCTGCAGAGATCCTACTTCCAAATAAGGTCACATTCTGAGGTTCTGAGTGGACATGAGTTTTGTTTTGTTTTGTTTTTCCAATATATTTTTATTGATTTCAGAGAGGAATGGAGGGAGAGGGAGAGAGAGATTGAAACATCAATGATGAGAGAGAATCATTGACTGGCTGTCACCTGCATGCTCCCTACTTGGGATCAAGCCCGCAACCCCGGCATGTGCCTCTAACTGGAATCGAACCTGGGGCCCTTCAGTCCGCAGGCTGATGCTCCATCCACTGAGCCAAACCGGCTAGGCTGGACATGAATTTTTTTGGGGGGGGAGGGGGAAACACTATTCAACTCTGTGTAGTATTATTATCTCCATTTTCTCCGAGGTAGAAATTGAGGCACAGAGAGGCTGAGTTAATTGCCCAAGATCACAAAGTTAGTGGGGTTTGTTCACACAGCAGAGCCTGGATTTGAATTCTGAGCAAAATAATTAGAGACCTTATCTTCCTTACCCCCAAGCTATGCTGCTTTTCAGATTAAATACACCTTGTGTGGGGCTTTTTATTTTATTACTTATTCCTCCAAGATCTTGACATTGTGGGGGACTTGAAAGCGGTGAGTTAAATAGCCCTCCTCATCTCTCTTGAACAAAGAGGCTGTGTTATGGGACAAGAGTGGGTCCGAGACCAAGTGCTGTGAGGTCAGGACATGCGACCCAGGACAGGGTGGAGGTCGGGCCAGGTTCAGAGCCGGAGGCCGGGCATTTGGTGCTGGATTTGACCCTGGACGTAGAGGTGAGACGAGAGTGGCTGGCTGTCTGCCTTTCCCCAGGCCACCCGTGACCTTGCCCAGTTCGACGCAGCCCATCATGAAGAGTTCAAACGCTACGAGATTCAAGGAACATAAGAGACGCCGTTACCTGGAGTCACTGGGAGAGGAGCAGCGAAAGGAGGCAGAGAGGAAGCTGGAAGAGCAACAGCGACGGCACCGAGAGCACCCCAAAGTCAATGTGCCTGTAAGGACCATCATTCGTACCCACCTTCCCCGTCATTCCCCCCGCCCCACTATGTCTAATTCCCTAAGTTCCACAAAGCAAGAATGTAGCTGAAAAACTACAACTCCCAGCAGACCCTGAGACAAGAGCCCCTTTTAATGTACCTACCTCTGCCCAGGGGCTTCTGGGAGTTGTAGTTTTCTTGCTTGAGGGGAATGACTGAGATGGGAGCATAAAGTGTTCTCTAGCTTTATCCCATAGGACCTAGACCTCTTACTCACGAGCCCCTCGCTCTTACCTCCACAGGGCAGCCAAGCCCAGTTGAAGGAGGTGTGGGAGGAGCTGGATGGATTGGACCCCAACAGGTTTAACCCCAAGACCTTCTTCATACTGCATGGTAAGGTGGGGAGGGTGTCCCAAGACCCAGGCTGGGTTCTGAGGCTCTGACCTTTGGAAATGAGGACCACGGGATTAAGAGCCTAGAATGACCATTTTTTGTAGCCTGGTCGGGGAAGGTTTTCTAGACCAGCATTGTCTAGTAGAATCTTCCACACCAATGGAAATACAAATGGTCTTTGTACAGCAGCCACCAGCCCCACGTGACCATGCAGCACTTGAAATGTGGCTCTTACAACGAAGGAATTGTGTCCTTAGAGTCGGTAAATTTTTTAAGACTTGTGAGTCTGGTAAAACACACGTAACATAAAATTTCCCTTCTCAGCTATCTTTAAGTGTCCAGTTCAGTATGTTAACTACATTCCCATTGCTGTGTAACTGGTCCTTGTGAAACCGAAACTTGAATCAACAGGAGGCCCAGTGCACAGATTTGTGCACCGTTGGGGCCCTTGGCCTGGCCTGTGGGGATCGGGCCGTCTTTAGAAAAAACAACACAGGATGTCCCACCCTCTTCCATGGAACCTGTGGATATGTGACCATTTCAGGCAGAAGGGATTTTGCAGACGTGACTAAGTTGAGGGTCTTGAGCTGATGGGATGAGCCTGAGTCACCCAGGTGGGCCCCAGAGCTCATCGCCAGGGCCCTTGAAAGAGGGAGGCCGAGGAGATTTGAGTTCAGGTCTCGGCTGCAGTGTGGCCCCTGAAGCCAGACGCTCCCTGCTGGCTTTGAAGGTGAAGGAAGGAGCCACAGCATGTAATCAGCTCTGGAAGCTGGAAAAGGCAACGAAATAGGTTCT